TCTTGCAGTGTTGTGGGCTGAGCACCAATGTGTGGGGCCTGTTTGGGCCCCAGTGCTATCACTCCTAGCAACGAACAGCCTTTTTGACTGGGCATCAGTTTGGATTGAACATTGGGACTTCGAGAGCTCCATGACATTATCACTTGCAGTTGTTTGCATAGAATCCAAACAGACCAAACTCACTGAGGCTCAATATTTGCAATTGAAATGTAACAACAATAAGTGCTGTTAGGCCGGGGCAGGCCGTGTTGGCCCAGTACTCAGGAGGCTGAGGAAGGAGGATTGCTGCCAGTTCAAGGTTAGCCTGGGCTACACAGTGAGTTAAAGGCCAGTCTGAACTACATAGTGAGACCTTGTCTCAAAAAACAAAAACTTCTTTAAAATTTTGTTCCTAATTCCTGAAGATAGTACAGAAATAAACCAGACCCAGTGTCCCTGGAACATCACCCAAGCCTAAATGATCTCCCAGTTGCTCTCACTGTCACTACCCCGGGAGCCCAGAGAAGCTGCAGGTGACCAGATGCGTGGATTTGCCCTAGGTGTGGGTGGAGCACAATGCAAAGCAACCCCAGGGTCAATAGGACCTTGAGGAGCCTTGGTGGAGACAAAGGAGCCAAGGTAGAGCTGGGCCGTTTCTTTTTCCATGGTGATCAGGGACACTGTGGCAAGCGAGCCTTTAAGAACGCCGATGATCTAAGGGCCAGGGATTTAGCTCAGTGGTTCCACTGACTCCCGCACAAGGACCCAAGTTCAATCCCTGGTACCAAAAAAAAAAAAGAAAACCTATGATCTTGACAGGTTTCTGCTGTATCTCTTTTAACCCAGGTCCCAGTAGATCAAATCTCTCTTGAGGCTTCTCTGATTTCCTCAGTTCTTTGTCAAGACGGTACTCAGCCCTGCACCTAGGCAGCACCATGGAGTGTCTCTGGAGTAAGTTCTATCTCTTCAAACTCCTCAGAGGTGAGAGGCAAGCAGCTCTTCCATTCTCTTCTGCTCCTCCTTTGCCTGCCAGAGGAAGCCCCTCTCTTGTGCGGGTTCCACCACTGTCTTCTGGGGTTGAGCGTTTAGATACTGCCTGGAGTCTGCCACTTTTTGACTCATTCAAAATGTCAGGCTTGACTTGTCTGGTAGGATTTCTGGGGCTCTGGATGGGGGAGACAAGGTGTGCTGTCTTATTTTTTTTATTTTAAGACAGTGTCTTGGCTGGGGATTTAGCTCAGTGGTTCCGCTGCCTGCCTTGCAATCGCAAGGTTTGGAGTTCGATGCCCAATACAAAAAAAAAAACAGTGTCTCACTAAGTTGCCCAGCTGGGTACTTAAACTTGCCATCCTCCTGATTCAGCCTTTCAGGGAAATGCTTATTGTATGAAATTGAAAAGGAAAAGTCAGAGTGTAATATTAAATGTGCACTGGAATCTCAGAAATCTGTCGATAAATTTGACAGGAATAAATTTATCTGAGTTGTGTTTTAATTTTTTCTATATCCAATGAATATATTAATCCACAATTACTGTGTATGGCATCACCTGAGTCAATATATCATAAAGTCCAAGAAGGAAATCGAGGACAAAGGAGGGAGACAAGGTGGAAGAAATAGGTCCTGATAGTTGGGAGGACACCTGAAATTGGTTTACCACAGGGAATTTTTTGAGTAGGTTAATGAAAAGAACAAAGTGAGAGGGAAAAACCATTTTCCAGATGGGTAGGGGCAGAAGCTATCGGAGTGATCAGTATCACCTTGCTTGTTACCTCACCTGTCACAACCCTGGACTTTATTGTCTGCCTGGTTCTCGGTAACTCTCTACCTCAGGCTCCTGTGAATCTGACCAAGGCCTGGTCGTCCTGACTATCTTGGGCCCAGTCCCTCCCTTGCTGCCTGGCTGCTGTCTTCTGCCTACCTTGCCTGTCTGCAATATAATCTATAATAATCATATGCTCCAGTTGGCTTCCGTAATTCAGGAGGAAGCAGCAAGTTTCTCTTGCTGCTCAGGCTGGAGCCCCTGCTAGGAGCCTCCCCCCAACCCCCATACAGCAGAAAGTGCTGGCTCCACACCCATCCATGGGGTCCCCAAGTACAGAGCTGCCCTGACCTCAGTATCTGCATCTGTGGAACAGCAGCACCCTGCCCACTACAGGAGTTTCTCAGGACTGAGTGGGAAGGGAGCCTGCCGTGTCATAGATATGCCATCAGAGACTGCCAGCCTCAGGTGCACAGGAAAGTGAACCCCACAGGGGTGTTCCCACAACCAGGGTTCCCCAAATCCCAAGAGCATCAGCCTGGATACTGATGGGAAATGTTCAACCCAATGTCCGAGAGCCTGGGGCACCAGGTGCTGCCCTTGGGGAAAGTGGGTTCCTGGCCCAATGGGCTCAGTGTGATCTCTCCAAGGGTGGAGGGAGGAGCCCCAATCCCCACTACACTCCCACAACACACCACACACCCAACCCCCCACACTACTCACCATACCCCACACCACACATCCGTCACGACAAAGCCCACACCCCACCCCATCCCACAACACACCCCACACCACACTCCACTCACCACCTCATACTCCATACACTACCCTACAGCCCATAACCCACAATCCACAGACCTCATCACACTATCCACCCACAACCCCTACCCCTATTGTAGCCCTCCACTCAACACCCCACTTCACTCCCCATCCAAATGCATCTCCCATGCAGATGGTGGGTCTGTGAAACCCAGAGAAGACGTTTGTGAGCCACCTGGGGGTGCTGGTACAGTCAGGCTGACTGAGCTCAGGGAGCAGAGGGAGGAGCAGACCCCCTGCCTCCTGCCTCCTGATCAGGAGTTCAGGGTACCCAGGGATACCAGTTAGCCAGGTCTCTGGGGTTAATCCCTGGGGTCCTAATCAAACAGAAAGGGGGGAGGTATAAGCCTTTCTCCCCAAAGATGGTGTCTTGGTCACTTCTCTTGTTGCTGAGACACAATACCCAACACCCAAGGTTAAAAGAGGAAAGGTTCATTTTAGCTCACTCTTTGTAGAGGTTCCAGTTCATAGTTGGCTGGTTCCAAGTCAGGGTGGCACGGCAGGGGGACATTACAGAGGAGAAACAGCTCATGACGGCAGAAGGCAGCAAAGCAGCAAAGTAGCAAACAGCAAGCCACAAGCACCAACCATCTATCTGTGCCTTATATCCTATGCAAGGGCAGGTAGCACTAACAGTCAGGGTGGGGCAGCCTTGATCCTAGCATGGCACCATAAATCAATCCCAGCATCACATCCTTGATCCCAACATCACATACTCTAGATCTAGCCCCCTCTAAAAAGCCTCGCCTATGAGCATATGAGGCTTTGAGAGACATCTAGATTCAAGCCACAACAGATGGAGAACAAAGCCCCCTGGACCCTCTGCTCTCCACCGAGTCTTCTGATCTTTTCAGTGTCTGAAGGGGAAGTAGGTGACAGACATCCTGAAGAAGAGGCAAACAGGAGGGAGGAGGAAAGGGAGGTAAGGATGAAGATGGGATGCATTTAGGGGGGATTTACAATGTATCCAAAACACGTGCTAAGAAAAAAGGGGGGAATCTTTACTGTAAGAAAAATTAAATAAATATAAAAAAGTATAAAGGTTTGTATTAGCCGGAATTACGATTTTAGGAATGCCTTTTCTCCCCACCCCATCTGTGAGAAAACAGTACCAAACTCTGGTCATTTGCTAGTCAACTGCCCAAAACAGAAGGAATTAGCTGATCCAACTGAACACAAAACAAAACCTAATGGTTTATTTAAAAAAACAAAAACAAAAACCAGCTTTTTAAAGAGATGTTAGGGACCTGAGATTTAGCTCAGTGGTGCTGCCACCTGCCTCGAAAGCATAAGGTCCCGACTTTGATCCCTGGTACCAAAAAAAAGGCTTCCACACAGTAAAGAGATATTAGGATCAAAGCAACACCAAGGAGGAAGTAGAAATTCCCATTACCTCACCAGCCCCTTCCCTGATCCAAAATACACGTAGGTATATGTATCGACGCCTCTCACCTGTTTGTGACAATGGATGAATCTATTCTTGCACCATTCTCACTGAACTTTCAAGTTAACTTTTCTAGTGCACTTGCTATGAATTAGGGAGTATTTCCTCTGCTTCTGCTTACTGAAAGACATCTATGAGACTGGCTTTAGTCTAACATCAACACTAGGCAAAGACAGTCCAAGAAAAGAAAGCTACAATTAGGAACTTTAGAAATTGGGTGTGGGGGTCAATGCCTACAATCCCAGCTACTCTGAGGCAGACTGGTGAGAATTATAAATTGAAAATCAGCCTGAACAATTTAGCCAGATCCTGCTTCAAAATTTAAAAATTAAGTTGTAAAAGGAGCTAGGAGTTGTGTTTCAGGACCTCCTGGTTTCAATCAATCTCCAGTACCAAAAAAAAAGGTAAGAATTAGAGAGCAAATAAATATACAGCTCTTGGGTTTTTACATATTTCTGGTTACACTTCTTCAGAGAGTTATTAATTTAATGTGATTTAATCCATTCAACTAAGGACAGATCAAGTGTGGGGAGTTTTTTGTTAGTTTCATTTGCTGAGACAGAATTGCAAATTGAAGCCCAGCTTACACAGTTTTGCAAGACCTTGGGGAGCTGGGTGTGGTGGCACATGCCAATCCAAGCACTAGGAAGGCTGAGGCAGGAGGATCTAAGTTCCAGGCCTACCTGGGCTACATAGCCACCCTGTCTCAAAAATGAATAAATAAATAATATAAAGGATGGGGACATAGCTCAGTGGTAGAGCCCACCCGGGCTCAATCCCTAGTACTGAAAAAATAAAAAATAAACAAATAAATGCTCCCAAGGCGCTGCAACGTGGGGTACTTAAAATGCTGGATAATAAACTAGGCATAAGGGCATAGCGTCAGAAAGTACCGGGTTTAAAAAGCAAATGCAGGCCGGGGATTTAGCTCAGTGGTTTCGCTGCTTGCTGCTCAAGCACAAGAACCCGAGTTCAATTCCCAGTACCAAAAAAAAGCAAACGCTAGGCTTCAAAAACAACGTCGTGACCAACGTGTGAAGGAACCTCCGACTATTCAGGGAGCCGATTGGCCCCGCTCGCCGACGAATGACTGAGCGGCAACTCGCCGACCAATGACTGAGCGGCAAGAGTGCGGCGAGCCTCTGGCTGGCTACTTAAGCGGGGGCGGAGCGCAGGTCGCCCCAGATGATTCTGCTTCAGCGCCTCTAATTGCGCGGAACACGTGAGGCCTCACGCAGCCATGTCTAGCGCCAACGCTTCCCCACCAAGCTCGTCGGTGGCCCCAGTCCCGGAAAGGAGGCCGGCGGAAGACCAGACCGGAGGAGGTCGGAGAGGGAGTCGGGGCGGCCGAGGGGTCGGCTGCAGGGAGCCCTCTGGCGTCCAGGAGGCTGTGGCCAGGCGTCGCTGGGAACCGCCGCTCCGCTTCGCTGTGAGGAGCGACCTGGTGGACGCGGTGGTCGGTGAGCAGGGACGGGCTGGATGGGCTGGGCGGGCTGGGCCCGCTGGGCCCCTCCCGCGCCTGCCTCCCGCAGTTGCCACCGCCTGAGGAGATCCCGGTCTCCACCTGGGCCGCTTCCAAGACCTTCTGGTACCAGAATAGCATTTCATGCACCTTGGATGTTTTATAGAAATGTTTTAGGGAGTCAGACGCCTACACACTGATGAAATCTTTGAGGTTAAGAGAAAGGCTGGAGAGATCAGGTTTTTGGACAGTTCACCCCCAAAGAACGACAAAAGTGAAATCTGTCTATTTCTGGGAGTACCATCCAGAGCTATTAATCCAAGAAGAGATACAGGATATTAACACAGGGCTGTGCAGAGCATCAGCTATCTCTTTTGCTTAGTTTCTTTAACTTGATAATTTATCTGTTGGGAATCAGCATCTTTTTTTTTCTGTACATCTTGAGTTTTACAAACTGGTTTTTTGCTTTGTTTTGTTTTTTGTACCGGGGATCTAACTCGGGTCCTTGCGCTTGTGTAGCAGGCGGCGAAACCACTGAGCTAAATCCCCGGCCCACAAACTGGTTTTTTAAAAGATGCATTTCGATATTAGAATGATTGTCCCCATTTATTATCCTTGAAACTGAGTACTGCCTGGTGCCACGGTTCAGGCTGTAACTTAGGAGGCAGAGGCAGGAGGCTTGCGAATTCCCGTCCAGCCTGGATGATTTAGGGAGACCCTGTCTCAAAATAGAAGGACCGGGGATGTAGCTCAGCACGCTCTCGGTTCAGTCTCTAGTACCGCGAAAAATAATATGTATTGCAAGATTTTGCTCACCTATTGGAGTTATTTTTTGCTTTTTTCAAACCTGAGAAAATGAAGAGATTTTGTAGGCTGCTATTAAATAGTCCTTTATAACTCTAATTGCTAGACCAGACTGAGATTCATTAGCCCCTCTCAAGGCTCAGGCATAATAGATCTGAAAAATAGCACTCCATGAAAGAGAACCACTAGGTTTGCTGTAAAAATCGGATCTCAGGACTTACTAAGCAGCTGGAAAGCGTGGGCACTGTGATACAGTGTCCTCATTTGATACTGCATCTGGATCCAGTTTTTTTCTTTCTTTTTCTTTGTCTTTCTTTTGTGCTGAGAAGCAAACCCTCAGCTTTGTAAATGCCAGGCACTTACACTACCAGTCAATTACATCCCCAGCCTAGGATCCTATTTTGTTCGTTTGTTTGTGGTGGTGGTAGTCATAGTGGGGATTGAATTTAGGCTCTTCATACTGAGCTACATCCCTAGTCCTTTCTTCATATTTACTTTTTTTTTTTTTGGTTACCGGGGATCAAACTCCGGACCTTGCTCTTGCAAACCAGGGACAGTGCCACTGAGCTAAATCCCCAGTCCTTTCATATCTACTTTTGAGACAGGATCTAAGTCGTCCAGGCTGGGCTACAACTTACAGTCATCCTGCCTCCAACTTCCAGAGTGCTGAGGATCACAGACACCGAATTATTTTTTTATTGTGGTAAATCAACAGTTTTTGAGGGGCAGCGCTGGGGACTAAAGTCGAACCCTCAAGGTGCTACCCACAAGCTCTACCATTACTCTACAATGCCAGCCCCACTTCACTATTTTTTAAGTCTACAGTACAGTATTATTGATAAGCACAAGGTTGTGGCTCAGATCTCTACAACTTGCGTGGCTAAAACTATACCCACTAAAGAGCTCCCCATTTCTCGCTGAACCCCTCCTTGGAAACTGGTATTCTGTGATATGGACTTGATTATATTAATACTCTAGGGTCATAAGGTAATTGTCTTTTATGACTGGCTTATCTGAACATAATGCCCTGCAGTTTCATCCATTTTGTAGCAGGTGACAGGATTTCTTTTAAAGCAGAATGGTGTCACTTCATGATTTTGTATATTGTGCCCCATTGTGTTTATCCACTTAACCCTGATGAAAGTGGTTGCTTCTACTGTTTTTTCTACACTTGATCTTAGTCAATAGGGCAAGAAGCAATCTATTGTTTTTTTATTTTGTGGTGCTGGGGATTGAATCCAGAGGCATTCTGTTACTGAGCTACATGCCCAGTCACATCTACCACCAACTTTTTTGTTTTTGTTTTTTCACGTTTTTTAAAATTTTGAGATAAGCTCTTATTAAGTCACTGAGTTCCCAAGCTGGGCTTGAACTTCTGATCTTCCTGCCTCAGCTTCCTGGGTACCTGGAATTACAGGCATGTACTACCATGTCTGATTTCCTTCTGCCTTGACTCTTGTTAATTGTGCTTCCACGAATGCAGGTATGCAAATATCACTTTGACATACTGCTTTCAATTCTTTTGGATGTATAACCTGCAGTGGGTCTGCTGGATTATATGGCAATTAAAAAAAAAATTTTCAGGAACTTCCATACTGTTTTCCATAGTGACCATAGTATTTTAAAATCTGAACAGTGCACAAGGTTCCATTTTCCTCACATCTTCACCAACACTTGTTAAATTTGTTTTTTATAATGGCCAACCAGCCTGGGATTTAGCTCAGTGGTTTTGCCGCCTGTTGCGCAAGTGCAAAGACCCGAGTTCGATCCCCAGTACCAAAAAAAAAAAAGAAAGGTACTTCTATAATGGCCAACCTAACAGGTATGAAGCAATACCCTGTTGCAGTTTCGATCTGCATTTACCCTCTGAATAAAGTTGAGCATCTTATGTACCTGTCAGCCATTTTTGTAGGTCATTGGGAAAGTGTCTATTCAATTATTTGCCCCCCTTTTAAATTTTGTTTTGACTCAAGGTCTCACTAAATTACCCAGGCTGGCTTTGAACTTGGGATCTGCCTGCCTCAGACTTTGGAGCCTTTCTTGGTATGATTGAGGGATGAGCTAGACAAAGTTCTTTGAGGGAAGTAGGTAAATCCCCTTTATTGACTTCAACTTGTATATTCCTTTTAAAAAAATAAAAACAGGTCGTGGTGGATCAAAAATAAGAGAAATCCAAAGTACAACGAATACCAAAATACAGGTAAATCATTTGTGTTCTTAAACCCTTAAGCATAGTTCACCTAATAGTAGCTTCTGTTCAGCTATTAACATACTGCCATGAGTCACCAAAGTTCTTTGTCCTGCTGAATTTGACTGAGCTGTAGGGTTTGCTGTGAATCTTAAGAGCTGAAGATGCTTTAGATATAATCTCCATTTAAGAATATCTCTGTGGGATAGTCATCATGCCCAAAATTATTCCCTGCCTGAGCCTCTTGCCTGAAACCTTGACATACTCCTGTGTGTCTTAGTGAAAGGATACAGCATCATTCACTGAGTTCTCCAACCAGAAATCTCATATTATCTTCTGTGATAATCACCTCTCTTTATGCCAGCCTCATCTGCATCCTGTACTTCTCAAGGGGAATCCTATCAGGTACATTTTCCCTTAACCATCCATTCTGCGCTATGGTCAGAGCAACCTTTCTGAAACACAAAATTGTGAGCTCATCTTCCTTTCTGCATAAAAACTCTGCATAGGATCTTCTAACCATGGTCCACCAGACGTGGCCTGTTTTAACATCTCTACTCTTTTTTTATTTACCTCTTTACTGATACTGCCCTGTCTTAGGTGTCTACTTGTAGGAATCTCCTAGTCATCTTTCAGGTAAGTTGTTAGTTGTCACTTCCTCAGTAAGTTTGAAGCCTCCTGCTTCCTGTTGTGTGTATGTGTCCCTTTTCCTTCCTCTCAGTAGCTCCTCGGTGCTTTATTTCTGCACTTACAGAGTTGTGTGTGTCTGTAAAACCTGCAGATCAACACTCAAACAGCAGCCTAAGACAGCTGCTGTTGTATAGTACTACTTTCCAGATAAATAGTGAATAGGGCCGGGGATTTAGCTCAGTGGTTTCACCACCTGCTGCGCAATCTCAAGGACCCAAGTTCGATCCCTGGTACCAAAAAAAAAAAAAGTGAATAAATGAGAGTATCTGAAATTGTACGTGTTTAAAGGTGTTACTTGTAGATTCTGTCCTAAATGTTAAAACATCGGCCCTTGTTGAGCACTTATCGCTGTAACAATGTACATGCATAAGTAGAGGATCCCATCAAGTTAAAACGTTGCATATGTGACCTGACAGTTCAAAACCATGTTTTTGTTTGTTTGTTGAGACTGAGTCTCACTGTGTAGTTCAGGCAGGCCTTAAACTCGCCGTGTAGCCCAAGGTAGCCTTGAACTCACCCTTCCAAGTGCTAGGACTATAGGCATGGGCATCCACCACTATGCCTGACCAGAACAGTTTTACCTACATGTCATATAGGTCAATCCACTCCAACTCAGTGATTCTGAAAAGTAAACAGGACCATTTTATTGGTGAGAGAACCCAGACTCAAAGTAATATCATCTGTCAGATTAACGCAGTGGTTCCCAGCCTCTTTGGCACCAGGGACAAGCTTTGTGGAAGGCAGTTTTCCATGGACTAAAGTCAGAGGATGATTCAAACACATTAAATTTATTATGTATTTTATGATTACTACATTGTAATACATAAGGAAATAATTATACAGCTCACCATAATGCAAAATCAGTGGAAGCCCTGAGCTTGTTCTCCTCCAGCTATATGCTCCTATCTGGGGATGATAGGAGACAGTGACACCCAAAGTATGTTACTTATGTCCAGTCTCCTCCGTAATCTTGTTTTGGTTGGTATCACTACAGAATACCCTGCTTCACAAAGATAGGATGTTGGAAATGGAAGCAGGCTTTTCAGTGCTTTTGTGGAAATTCCAAAAAATATTCCACCTTGACTTCAGTCCACAATATACAGAGATTTGAAGTTGTCTCAGACATACTTTAAAGTCCATTGTCATTTCCGATCTCAAGCAGTTGATCGTCTTCTCGCATGGACAAAGTTGATTCACCTGGCGTGAATGAATTGCAGATCCATTCCTTTCCAGTTCAGGGTCTTCTTTGTTTGGGAGGTAATGTACAAACTCTTCTGAAAGCTGAGATAGGTAATTATGCACTGGCTGAGAGAAAGGAGCCCCTTGCTCAATGTCTTTTAAAATCTCTGCACATGTTCCAAACCTCAAAAATCCCAGTGTTCACTCATTATTCCTGTAATTCCAATTTGGCTTTGAATGCAGCTACTTTATCTGCTGACTTGAACACAGTTGTCATTCTCCACTGAAGTGATGTATTGAGTTTGTTGAACACATTGAATATGTTGCACAAGTGAGCAAGTTGTTTGTTTGTTTGTTTGTTTTGGTACTGGGGATCAAACTTGGGTCCTTGCACTTGCAAGGCAGGCAGCAGAACCACTGAGCTAAATCCCCGTCCCAGTAAGCAAGTTTTGCAACACATTCTGTGTCACTGTAATGTGCTGCCTATGGTAACTATTTTTTTAAAAAGAAATCACTAGTGTGACTCTCATAACTCAAAAACTCTGGCCAGTGATCTGCCTTTAGAAAGCCATCTCACTTGTATGTGTAAAAGAAGAGGTGAGTGCTCTACATTAATCTCTTCACAGAGCTGCACAGATAGACATGAGTTAACAGCATGTGCTCAGTGTAGTTAATAATTTTAATCATATCCTGGAAAACATTGTTAAGATCAGGTGGCATTTTTCAGCTAGCCAGTATTCCTTTACACCCGACACAGTGGGTAGACTCATTCAGAAATAACCTCTCTGACCAGAGTGGTGAAACAAAGCCATCTAGTCATGGCAGCTGCTCCATCTGTGCATAGACCAACATAAAATGACAAACATAAAATGACCAACATAAAACAACCCCAATTCCATTTTCCAGGTATGTGATCATTCAGAGACTTGAGTAGTTCTGCAACTGTGGTGTTGGCTGGCCACGAAAGTGTACATAGCATATCCTCATGCACATCCTCCTGAAAAATACATGGCACAAAATAAAGCCTTGTTATTTGGTTGTCAACATTGTGAGACTTAACCACCTGGAGTATATAATGTGGTGACTCATTAGTCATTGATTTGTCTAATTATGGTGCCATTGAAAGAGGAACATGTATCACCTTAGCTAAGTTCCTTAGCAGCAGGCAAGAGCAACTCTGCAGTAGTAGAGGGCTTGTTAGCTTTAGTATTGCAGTTAGCCACTAAGAATGATGTCCTCAGTGCAGACCCAGTTGATGAAGTGATGGTCTTCAATAATTGCTTCTGTCTTTCATGTTCCCTTTTTTGTTTTGAAAAACTCCAAAGGCTTGTGCTTTCATGCACGGTGCTTGTTTTCCATGTGGAAGGTTTCATGGCTTCATTAAGTAACTGGTCCCCATACATTATACAAAGAGGCTCGGAGAATGTGAATCACCTGTTGCAATAAAGCCGTAATATAAGCAGGACTCTTGGTGGTTTCTTTTAAATGCAGCTTTCAGGGTCTGGGGATTTAGCTCAGTGGCACCGCACCTGCCTTGCAAGTACAAGGTCCTGAGTTTGATCCCCAGTACTGGAAAAAACAAAAAATGCAGCTTTCTCTTTTTTGGAAATCTGTCTCATCAGTGGGTCTTTCTTCCTTTTCAAAAAAGCTCTCCAGGGATTTTTGGGGTTTTTTTTGTTTTGTTTGTTTTACTTATTTTGGTTAGGGTTAGCTTGTGAGCTTACCCAAACTGAAACAAGTGTGCAGTGCAGGAAGAATGTGTGGATGGAGTTGATGAGTAAAATAATGGATGGGCCACATCTAGACTAGTTAGTGTTGGATTCTGACTTAAAGCCTGCCACCAGATGCAGCTGTACAGTTGAAGTACATCAACTCACTTCCCACTATAAAGTCTGCCACCACATACACCTTGCACTTTCCACTCAGTGATAGGATTTTGATAAGAGTCTGCCTCTAATTGATTGTAGTCTGTGCAGTCAGACCTCTCTGCTAGTGTCAGTCTGTGTTTGCTGCTGCTTCCCAGTGCTAGCATCACCACCTTAGCTCCACCTCAAATCATCAGACATTAGATTCTAATATTGAGCCCGCAATCTAGGAGTTAATGCTCCTATGAGAATCTAATGCCCCTGCTGACTTGGCAGGAGCCAGAGCTGAGTTGGTAATGGAAGCAATGGACCAGCTGTGAATACAGATGAACCTTCCCTCATTTACCTGCTGCTTACTTCCTGCTTTGCAGCTCAGTTCCTAACAAGCCATGAGCTGGTACCAATCTGTAGCCCTGGGGCTGGAGATTCCTAGATTAATATTTTAGTTTTCCCTTTGATAGGATTTTCTTAATTTAATGTCTAGATATCACTTTTTCTTTTTCTTTTCTTTTTTTTTTTTTTTTTGGTACCGGGGATGGCACTCAGGACCTTGCGCTTGCGAGGAGGCAGGCACCGGAACCACTGAGCTAAATCCCTGGCCCTAGATGTCACTTTTTGAGCTCACAGATTGCCCTGTTCCTCCCACAAACAACCAGGAGGTACATCTTACAGTGGATATAAGTAGCGTTACCTCAACCTAGAAAGTAGACGTTGATAGCAATGTTACCTTTACCTTTATACTATTTGAAATTAGTGATGGCTGGGTGTGGTGAGAAGACTCCATTCTCACCTATTTTTCCTCTTGTATATAGATAATAAAAGGAAATCCCGAGGCAGAAGTCAAAGTTTTTGGCAACAAGGCAATGCAGACAAAAGCAAAAACAATGATAGATAATGTTATTAAAGAACAAGAAAGTTACAGTCAAGAATACAGAGTTGGTAAGTAATTTTTGCCCATTGAAGTCCTTTTAAAATTTTTAAATTTTTTTTAGTGTTATCAGCCATTGAATCCTTTCTTGATTCAAAGCTCTGGATTTCCAGGGCTGGGGATTTAGCTCAGTGGTTTCACCTCCTGCTGCACAAGCACAAGGACCTGAGTTCGATCCCCGGTACCAAAAAACAAACAAAGCTCTAGATTTCCATATTCTAGTCATATATTCTTTTCCTGTGAAAGCCCAGATTACTTGCTTTCCTCAGAATAAAACTAGTTAATATCCATAACTACTTCATGTAATGGTTAAGTCCAGTTTAACTTTTAGCCATAGGTAAGCACTTTGATACACTTACTTTAGTATTAATGGTAAGATTGGTCCTGGGCTTCTGACTCTTGTTCCTTCATTCAATCTAGGACTGACTATAAAAACTGGTATTTTAAAAATCTCCCATCTGTTTAGAGAAAAATTGTAGATGCAATACAGAAGTAAAAAGAACACTTTGGCTCAGATGACAGTGTTTCTCCTTAGAGTTTCTCAGAAGGGAGCATAACCTCTAAGGTTCCGTTTTTTCATCTGTTAACCTAGGGTACTGCCTACCTCAAGACTAAATAATATGACAACATTTCAGCACACACTAGACCCTTTGTGCTATTTTCTTCAATAAATTAAAATGTGTATTTTTGAAACAGGAAGAAAATGTGAAGGGACACAAGGAAGGGGGGAGTGGGAAAGGGAGGGAAAAGAAAAAATGAAAAAAGAAAGAAAAACAAAGCTCTTGTAAATAACATGAAGAGAGGAGAGGAGGGGAATGGGAAACAAACATGAATCAAGATTTATCATGTACAGGTACAGATTCCATATGATGAATGTGAGTATTATGTGTATCTAAATTGTGCCAATAAACTTAATGATAAAGTAAAAATTCCCTAGTGTAGATAAGATTTTAAAAATGACAAAAACCATGGCCAGATTGTCATGGTAATATAGTATAAACACACCCTCTTTGTTTTGTTTCGCTGAGGGTTGAACCCAGGGCCTTGTGTACTAGGCTGTGAAAATGTCAAATTTTATATTTCAAGAATTATTGTCTCACCGGGGATTTAGCTCAGTGGTTCCACCACCTGCCTCGCAAGTGCAAGGTCCTGAGTTCGATCCCGGTACCCCCCCCCAAAAAAAAGACCCTAAAAAAAAAAGAATTATTGTCTCATTATTACTAAACACAAAATCAAAAAATGGCTTTGAGAATTTTATACTGACAGGATTTATTATAAAACTAATTTGGTACAATTTTTTAACAGATACTGTTGTATTCCAACCTTCTGTTGGAAGAGATGTAAGCACAAATCATAATGTTACAGAAGATCCGCCATTGATAAATTGGGATAAAATTCGAGAGGATGCTTCAAAATGGGAGAAGAAAAAGTGGGCAGGTCAGTGCTGTATTGTAATGTGTAAACGTGTCAACATGATGCTGGTATTTCCTTTACCTTCAGTTCTTTTTTTTTTCTTTTTTGTTAATGGGTACATTTTAGGTATACAGTACATTTACATTTATCATGGGGTGTTTGTACCTGAACATGATGTATCTTAGTTCTTATTTTCTTTCCCCATTACCTATGCGCCCTTCACCCCCACCACCCTTCCCTATTTACATAGACTTTGTTTTCATTATTTTCTTTTTCTTTCTCATACTCTTTCCTTTCCTTTCTTCCCTTTGCCCTTCCCTTCCCACCACCCCTCCACCTTTGGACCGTTCCCTATTTCAAATTATCAGTTACTCATTTTAATCATTTTCATCCTTATTTACACTTTCAGTTTCTCACACTAGAGACACTATTCAGTATTTACACATGTGTGTCCTATTTATTTCACTTAAGAGTATCGCCTCAATCTGCATTCATTTAGCTATAAATGTCTCTAATTTCTCATTCTTTATGGCTGAGTAGTACTCCATTTTATAAAAAAAAAAACCCACATCTTTATCCAGTTTCCAGTTGATGGGCTCTTGGGCTGTTTCCAAACCTTAGCTATTACAAATTGTGCCGCTATAAACATAGGTGCACATACATCACTGTGGTATGATTTTTTAATTCTTTGGGGAAGATACCCAGCAGGGGAATAGCTGGGTCAAATGGGACCTCTAGTCCTAGTCCTTTGAGGTATCTCCATACGGATTTCCACAGTGGTTGCATCAGTCTGCACTCCCACCAACAATGGAGAAGGGTTCCTTTCTCTCCACACCCCTGCCAGCATTTGTTATTGGTTGATTTCTTGATAGCAGCCATTCTTTCTGGGGTGAGGTGGGATCTCAGTGTTGTTTTCATCTGCATCTCTCGAATGACCAGTGATGTTGAACACTTTTTCATATATGTGTTTGCTGCTTTTACTTCTTTGTCTGAGAAATGTCTGTTCATTTCCGATGCCCATTTTTGAATTGGGTCTTTGAATTTGGGGGGTCTGATTTATTTCAATACTTTATATATTCTAGATAGTAGACCTTTGAGGTACAGCTGTTAAAAATTTCTTCCCATATTATAGGTTGTCTCTTAGCTCTGTTGGTAGTTTCTCTTTACCTTCAGTTCTTAACCTCTAATGTCTGCCTTATTTTTAGTAATGAAATTGAAATGAAAAATAGGAAAACCATTTGCCATTAGTCTGTAGGTCGTGATCATTTATACTTCTCCTGTGATTAACTTTCCAAATGGAAAAGTAAGTATTAAACTTATTTGCACCTTGTCTTACATGAGATAACTCACTGCAAAATACTGAAAGTAGAAAAGCAGGGTCAAGGGGGAATTGTGAAGAGAACAAACATGCCAATCATAAGTTAACATTTTTACTGTAACTGAGCAAAATTGGACCTTGAAGTGACCAAGCTAACAGTGGCCCCCAGAAAGAGAAAAGCATGAAATCCTGAGGAGCAAACCATTTTTTACTTTTCATTGATTATGCAGGTTAACTGGTCTCATTTTGGCAGATTATACGCTGCTTATTTCCTCCTGTGTCCCATCAGCTGTCTGGCCCTTCCCTCCCCACCAGTTACACATTTTTGGGTGGGTTTCAATGAATGTAATGTATTTTGTTCATATCCATTCCCTCTATTATCTCCTCTCATTCCCTCTCCCCCTCATCCCCTTTCTCTTGTCTAACAGTGGTCTCCTTTCTCCTTTCTTGTCATCTTTTTTAGGTTCCACATAGTAGGGAGAACATGTGATATTTGTCTTTCTGTGTCTGGCTTATTTCATTGAACATGGTGCTTTCCACATCCATCCATATTCCTGCAAATAGCAGAATTTTGTTATTCTTTGTGGGTGAATAATACTCCATTTTTAATATTTGCCACATCTTCATTATCGATTTCCCTGCTGATGGGCACCTAGGTCGTTTACATATCTTGGTACAATATTTTGAATTGTGCTGCAATAAGCATGGGAACGCAGATATCCCTGTAGTACACAGACTTCAATTGCTTCCAGTGTATAGCAAGTTGTGGTATAACTGGATCAAACGGTAGCTCTGTTGTTTTTTTGGTAGCTCTATTTTTAGTTTTTTGAGGTTCTCCAGACTGGTTTCCATAATGGTAGTACTAGCTTACATTCTCCCAAAGCAGCGCAGTCTTCCTGTCTGCCTGCATCCTTGCCAGCAGTCATTGTTCTTTGTATTTTTGATGACTAGGATGAGATGGAATCTCAATGTAGTGTTGATTTTCATTTCCCTAATGGCTGAAGATGTTTAACTTTCTTTAGTGAACTTGTTAGGTATTTGTACTTCTTCTTTTGAGAAGTGTTTCCCACTTATCGATTGGGCTCTTTGTGGTTTTGGTGCTTTTTTTTTTAAATTCTTTATATGTTCTAAATATAATCCTCCATTAGAAGAGTAGCTGGGAATGACCTTCCGTCATTCTGTAGATTGTCTCTTCACTCTGTATGTTGTTTTCCTTAATGTGCAAAAACACCTTTTTTCCCCTTTTTGGTTTCCTTAGACAGGGTCTCGCTATGTAGTTAAGGCTGGGTTTGAGCTCACTATGTAGCTAAGGCTGACCTCAAGCCACAGTGATCCTCCTGCCTCAGCTTCCTGAGTGCTGGGATTATAGGTAAGCACCATCATATCTAGCTTCTGCAGAAACTTTTAATTTGATGTACGTAGTCCTATTTGTGGGTCCTTGCTACTGTTTCCTATGCTATTACAGTCCTACTGAGGAAGTCTTTGCCTATGCCTGTGACTTCAAGTGCTTTCGTTATGCTTTCTTGTGGAAGTTTCAAAGTTTCAGGTCTTATATCTAGGTCTTTGGGGTTTTGGGGGGTTTTTTTTTTTTGAGACAGGGTCTCACTTTGTAGTTCAGGCTGGCTATGAACTCACTGTGTAGCCCAGGCTGGCCTCAAATTCACATCGATCCTCTTACCTCAGCCTCCCAAGTGCTGCACTAACAGGTGTGCGCCACCATGAACAGCTGACCTTTGGTCTATTTTGAATTGATTTTTTTTTCAAAGTGAGAAGTAGAGATCTAGTTTCAGTCTTCTACAAGTAGATACCCAGTTTTCCCAGCACTATTTCTTAAGGAGGCTGTCTTTTCTCTTATGTATATTTTTGGTTCCTTTGTCCAGAATCAGATGGCTGTAGTTGTGTAGGTTTGTTCTGTGTTCCCTATTCCATTGGTCTATGTGTCTATTTTTGTCCCCATACCATGCTATTTTTCTTAATATGGCTTTGTAGTGTAATTTAAAATTGGGTATTGTGTGATGCTTCCAGTTCTGCTTGTTTTCCTTGCATTGCTTTGGCTATTGTGGGTCTTTCGTGTTTCCGAATTATTTTTAGGATTGTCTTTTCTAGTTCTGTGAAGAGTGTCATTGGAACTTTGATGGAGATTGCATAGATTGCTTTTGGTAATATGGTCACTTTAACGATATAATTCTTCCAATCCATGAACGTGGGAGGTCTTTCCATCTCCTGGTGTCTTCTTCATTTTCTTTCTTGTTCTGAAATTTTCATTGTAGAAGTCTTTCACTTCCTTGTTTAGATCTCTGCATATTTGTTTTTGAAAGTATTGTGAGTGGAATTGTTTTCCTGGTTTCTTTTTCAGACTGTTCCATTATTGGTGTACAGTAAGGCTACTGATTTTTTAAATGTTGATTTAATACCCAGCTGCATTGCTGAATTCATTTATCAGCTCTAAAAGTCTTTTGGTGGAGTCTTTAGGGTCTTCTAAGTATAGGATCATATCATCTACAAATGAGAATAATTTGACTTCTCCCCTCTTTATATCTTTTTTATTTTTTTCTTCTGGCCTAATTGCATTGGCTAAAATTTCAGGAACTACGGGCCGGGGATTTAGCTCAGTGGTTCCGCCATCTGCCTCGCAAGCACAAGGTCCCTAGTTCAATCCCAGGTACCAACAAAAAAAAAACAAAGAAAATTTAAGGAACTACATTGACTAAGAGCGGTGAGAATGTATGTCCTTGCCTTGTTTCTGAGCAACAGTTTTTAAGACAAGTTTTGTTTGAATTTTAAATGAAATTTCCCCATGCTGTATCACGTGTAGGGGATAATGTTTCCGAGTAAACTCAGGCGTTAATCTTGCTGCAATATAGAGTGTTTTAAAATTCAGAAGTCAATGTGCTAATATATTGTGTGGGAAGATTTGGTAGGGGGACCAAGAAAAGGATTTAGTTTGTAAGAGGTAGTATAGGTATTTAAGAAATACTATCTCAAAGCATAGAATAAATACATACATTTAATTCCTCAGAAGAGGAGGGACCTAGCTGAGCATGGGGGCACGGACCTGTAATCCCAGCACTCAGGAGGCTGAGACAAGAAGATTCTTGCAAGTTTGAGGCCAGCCTGGGGTACATAGTGAGTTCAAGGTCTGCCTGAGTTATATAACAAACAAAACAGAAATGAACAGACAAACAAAACAAAAAACAAAAACAAAGCCAAGAAAAATAATGTAGGGACCTTAAAAGAAAAAAATCTTGAACACAGAAATATCAAATATAGCAATTTCATGTCTCGTAAAGTATGCTTTACTTTATTTGAAACTTCAATACTGAAGATCCCTTTCCTGAGTAAAAATGTGATTGAAAGACAGATTAAAGATATATCTCTTAAACTGGCATCAGTCTGCATGACAAAGTATATAATGCTGTCTAAAACTGTCTGTTCTGTGGTAAACTTAATAGATACTGTAATGTTAGTGGAATATAAATTCTAGTTACTTACCGAAGTTTGGATTTTCATCTCTGTCCCAGATTTACCTCCAGTTAAGAAAAACTTTTATGTAGAGTCGGCAACAACAAGGGCAATGTCACAAGTGCAAGTAGACAACTGGAGGTGGGTAGTTTTATTTCTTATTTTTATCTTTTTCCTGGTACTGGGGATTGAACCTAGGACTTTCTCATTGAGCTATATCCCCAGCCCTTTTTTATTTTGTAGTCATAGTCTCACTAAGTCACCATATTGCCCAGGCTGAGCTTGAACTTTCAATCCTTCTGCCTCATCCTCCCAAAATATTGGGATTACAGACATGGGCCACCATACTGAGATGATAGTTTGTTTGTTGTTGTTGTTGTTGTTGTTGTTGTTGTTGTTGTTGTTTTTACCTTAATAAGTGGTATTCTTTAGTAAAATTATTAATATTAACCCTCTGAGCAATGATTTGAAATGGTTTCACTTGAAGACTACACACACGAATACATGTTTATTCACATGAGAATTTGGCTATATCCACCATGATATATTTCAGAGCACTGGTATCTAATAACATACTGCAGTGATGGAAAATGGCCTGTGTTTGTATCTAGAGTAGCCATATATAAGTATTGAGCACTGAAAATGTAGCTGGTATAAACTGAGGAATGTGCTGGGTATCTTCCCAAGAGAATTAAAAGAATCATACCACAGTGATATATGTGCACCCATGTTTATAGCGGCACAGTCTGTAATAGCCAAAACATGGAAACAGCCCAATTGCCCATCAACTGGTGACTGGATAAAGAAGATGTGGGGTTTTTTTTATAAAATGAAGTACTAAGCCACAAAGAATAAGAAACTACATTTAGAACTAAATGGATGCACATTGAGGCCATAGTCTTTTTTTTTTTGGTACCAGGGATCAAACTTCAGGTCCTTCTGCTTGTGAGGCAGGCGGTGGAACCACTGAGCTAAATCCCCACCCCTGAGGCCATACTCTTAAGTGAAATAAATAGGACACATGTGTAAATACCAAATAGTTTCTCTGGTGTGAGAAACTGAAAGTGTAAATGAGAATCAAAATGTATAATAGATAATGTGAAATAGGAAGAAGAGGTCCGAAGGGGAAATGGGAGGGATAGGGGGAAGGAAAGGAGGGAAAGGAAAAAATGAGAAAAAGAGAAAACGGAAACAAAGTCTTTGTAAATAGGGAGGGTTAAAGGGAGGGCAGGGGAATGGGGAAAAAATACAAACCAAGATACATCATGTAGAGGTACAAATTCCCAATCATGAATGTCATATTGTATATCTAAAATATACCAATACTGCCACCCGTCTCACAAGTGGAAAGTCCTGAATTCAGTCCCTGGTACTCCAAAAAATAATAAAATAAAATATACCAATAAACTTAAATAAACTGAGGAATGGAATACAATTTTTTTTTCAACCACGGGAATTGAACTCAGGACCTTGTGTTTGCCAGGCAGGCAGGGCGCCACTGAGCTAAACCCTGGCCCCACATCTTTTTTTATCAGTGCATATTGTTTATACAGTTAATGGGCTTCTTTTTGGCAGATTTGTACCTATGCATAATATACTTTGGCCATACCCCCCCACCCTGCATTACCCTCCTTGCCTTGCCCTGCCCCGGGTTTCACATTTATGGAGAGGTTTCAGTGTGTATGCTGTATTTCTAAGTCTTATTTTAGAGTATACACCCATTCTAAAAGAGTTTACTATAAGACTCTCCTGTGCTGTGAAGCCAGCAGCCTCACCTTGTGATTGCCTGGTCTGTCAGTGGCATCAAGAGGCCAGGTGAGGAATTGACAGAACACCTCAGATTGTGTAAGTCACTATGAGGTTTGCACAACAGAGAAATCACTTTTTTTTCCATTTCTCAGAATGCATCTCCATCATTAAATGACACATGACTGTACTGTAATTTTATATTTAAAGATACATGTCGGTAATTCAGGTATGGTGACTTGGACTGTAATCCCAGCTACTCTAGGCTGAGGCAGAAGTATAACAAGTTTCAGACCAGCCTGGGTTGAGACCCTGTCTCAAAACAAAATTTTTAAAAAGGGAAAGGGATGTAGCTCAATGGTATAGCACTTGCCTCATACATGCAAGGCTTTGGGTTTCACTCCCTGTATCACAAAAAAAGAAAAAAAATCAGATGTCCATACTGCTTGCTGTTTTACACAGCAGTTTTAGAGACTTACTTCTTTCAGTAGTTGAAAATTGTAAAAGAGAATTGATGTTTTTCATATTATAATAATTTCTTAAACTGTTTAATTCTTACCTGAAACTAAAGGTTTTAATAGCAACTTTTAAAAAAAATCTTAAGAAATTAAAAGCTGTAGAAGAATGATAAAACAGAATAGAGGTAGGATTCAACCTTGGGCAAGTAATTAATCTTATGATCAGCTATTAAGTGAGAATAATTCCTACCTCATGCAGTTGTTAAGAATTAATTAAGAAAATATGTCAGATGTGGTGCCTGTAATCCCAACACTTGGGAGGCTGAGGGAGGAGAATCGCCATGAGTTCAAGGCCAACCTGGACTACACAGTGAGTTCAAGACCAGTCTGAACTACATAGTGAGACCCTGTCTCAAAAAGCAAAATAGAAAAAAAAAATATGGGAATTGTAGGCCATCAGGTGTTTGCCATCCATGGTTTTGAATTATGAACCATGATTTATGGATCCCATTTTTAATAATCTTTTATCCATGAAACTTTCATTGGCCCATTCATATAATTGAAATTGATTTTCCCTTTCCTATGCAACTGTTCTCAGTAGGGGAAAGATGAGCTCCTGTTTCTATTCTTTACTGTGTTTCACTATAAATTTCCTAACACTGCTTCTATTCAGTTATAGTTGAATTTCTAGATAAGAACTGAACTGATTTTGATAAAATAAATCTTCCTTGGGGAGTAACGTACACTAATCCTTAAATTTCTCTGTTAAGGAAGGAAAATTTTGATATAACATGTGATGACTTAAAAAATGGCGAGAAACGTCCTATCCCCAGTCCTACCTGTAAATTTGAAGATGCCTTTCAGTGTTACCCTGAAGTTATGGAAAACATTAAAAGGGCAGGTTTTCAACAGCCAACACCAATTCAGGTATGCTTTTCTTAATTCTAATATCCACCCCCCATACACTCAAAAAAATTACCCCGTATGATCATTAGAAAACCACCAGGGACCCAGAGTCCATTCCTTAAGGACATCCCCCACACTACCAGTGCCAAGCACTTAGAGCTTGTTAAATGAAGTTTGGAGCTTAGAGAAGAGAGGGACAAAGAGATATCGAGAAGACATGTACTTTGTGTTATGATGTTTATCTTTCCCTTTCAGTCCCAAGCATGGCCAATAGTACTCCAAGGAATAGATCTTATTGCAGTAGCACAAACTGGAACGGGGAAGACTCTGTCCTATTTATTGCCTGGATTTATTCATCTAAACTCTCAACCACTGTAAGAATTCCTTTGCCTGGGCTCTCTTTATAAGGATTTCATACATAGAGACACCAAAAACATAATTCAGTTTCATTCATCAGTTGTGTTGGTCAGGAAGCAGTGGCTTATCTCAGGAAGCATGTGAGGAAGCAAACAGTTACACTGTGCTGATGAAAATATAAATTGGCAAAACATTTTTAGGAATCAATAAGTAATATCTACCAAAAGCATTCACAGAAACATTAGATTCCAATTATTTAAATCATCATGTTCAATGCAGTCTCTATTTACTGAGGAAATCTTTGGCAAGTTAGATATAATATCAATGAAAAGGTCACTGGGTTTTTTATGCTGTTTTTCTGGGCATTTCTTGGTTTCTCGCTTTTTTTCTTTTGTAATCAAGCATTATTTTAAAATCTTTCATACCATCAGCTGATTTTTTAGGTATATGAATAATAGTAAGCCAAAGTCTGTATCATACTGAGAGAACTTTAATCATCTCACCAAAGCTGGAAATATGTCTGTGACTATGTCTGACTTTAATACTCACTGCTACAAATAGCACTGGATGTCCCATGCATCTGAGATAGGTAATTGAATGTTAATGTTTCCTCTTGAAAGAGCTAGAGAAAAAAGGAATGGACCAGGCATGTTAGTCCTTACACCCACTCGGGAACTGGCACTTCAGGTGGAAGCTGAATGTTCTAAATATTCATATAAAGGTCTTAGAAGGTAAGTCATTTATTTTGGCATTTTTCTGCCAGTATTATAAAATGTATGTGCGTGTGGAGATATTATCCTAGGATCAAACCCAGGGACTTACAGGTTCTAAGCAAGTGCTCCTCTGCTGAACTAGACTTCCAGCTTCATAAGTTAATTTTTAACTGATACATGTAATGTAAATTGTACATTCTGGCATACCATGTGATGTTTCAGTTCAAGTCCTCTTCATTATTTTCACTTATTAAAATCTGAATGAGCCAAGCTTGGTGGCACACACCTGTAATCCCAGCACTCAGGAGGCTGAGGCAGAAGAATTGCTGCAAGTTTGATGCCAGCCTGGGCTACACAGTAAGTTCAAGGCCAGCCTGAACTACACAGCAAGACCTTGTCTCAAAAAATAAATGAATAGGGCCGAGATTTAGCTCAGTGGTTCTGTCGCTTGCCTCGCAACCAAAAGGTCCCGAGTTTGATCCCTGGTACCAAATAAATAAATAAAACCTGAATGGCTTAGTAGGGGGCCTGATGTTTAGCCCACCCAGATCCAATGAACAGTTGCCTCGTATAGAAGGTCTAGTAATGACATGAAAATGGTTCTCTAGGAAACACCACCATGGGTTGGTGGGTGTGGATGGTTCTCAGAAAAGGACAGATACAGCTAAACATACACAATAGTCTTTTATTTTGTCTTACCCAAAATGCTTAGTTTGAGATTTTCAGTCATGATGGCATATTCTTTGTCTAAACATGAACCTCTGGATTTTCTTAAGTGTCTGTATATATGGTGGTGGAGATAGAAGTGGACAAATACAAAATGTTTCAAAAGGTGTAGACATCATCATTGCAACTCCTGGAAGATTGAATGACCTACAAATGAATAACTTTGTCTGCCTGAAAAGTGTAACCTACCTGGTAATCATGGAGTAGGGGTTTGGAATGCTGGGGGGAAAACAATTGAATCCTGGTTAAATTTTTTAGTATGGCCGTTTTGCAATGGTTTTGGACTCTAATAATATTTCATATTCCCTCAAGCATGTTAATGTAAAGATTGGAAAATGTAAGTAAGTACAAAGGAAGGAAAATCTATATATATTTTTTCTTTTTTGGGGGGGCAGGTACCAGGGATCAAACTTGGGACCTTCTGCTTGCAAGGCAGGTGGCGGAACCACTGAGCTAAATCCCTGGTCCCTCTACTTGTATATTTAAAAATCTTCATTAAATACTTTAGAACCAAGTGGAAAGCCAGTCAGTGTTCCTTATAGCTACAAGTACTTGAATTTTTTTTTTTTTTGGTACCGGGGATCAAACTCAGGTCCTTGTGCTTGCATAGCAGGAACTTTAATTATTTTTATCTCTGGAGAAAGAAGGGGAAATTATTGTTATTCTTAAGGAAAATGTACATATTAGCTACCCCACATATCTAATTGGCCACAATCTTCATTGTGAATCCAGGTTTTAGATGAAGCAGACAAGATGTTGGACATGGGCTTTGAACCCCAGATAATGAAGATTTTGTTAGATGTGCGCCCAGACAGACAGACTATTATGACAAGGTAGATATGCCTGATTACTGCGAGCAAAATAAAAGTCAGTGAATTAGAATCCCCTCTGTTTGATTTCTTCACAGTGATTTAGAGCATTACTTAAATATTTTAAGACTCTGTTGTGCCTTAGGTTAGCAACTCTGGAACCATAACAGTGACTGCTTTCCCCTGGACTTTTGGACTTCCGAAGGGCAGACCAGGGTTTCTATAGGAAATTTACATCTTATGGAAAGAACTTATATTGAATTCTTAGAGATAAACATTAACCAAATACTACTTTATTGCCCAAGATAAAACAGAGAGCAATGATTATTACTTGAATGTAGAGTGATCCATAACAACTAATTTTTCCTGGCTTTATATCCTTTGACTTCATTAACACTAAGGGTAGTATTTAACTGAGAAAATAAACTAAATCCTCTGGCTTTGTTTTCTGTAATCTTGCCATTTGAAAAGAAGTGAAGTTCGCTAGGCATGGTAGCATACACCTGTGCCCCCAGCACTTGGGAGGCTGAGGCAGGGGATCTCCGTGAGTTCACAACCAGCTTGGGCTACAGAGTGAGTATAGGCCAGCCTGAAAGACTGTGTAGTGAGAACCTGTCTCAAAACAAAAAAAGAAAAAAGAAAAAAAAATAAGAGTTGGACTTAATTATAATTTCTATGAAAATAAAAAGAAAATGGCAACTTATTATTTTATATGTGGTAAAACATTTACATTTATATATTCTTTGATCAGCACACTTAAAATCATTTGTGTTTGCCATAAGTACTTGATTTTGTCTTCTAACAGTATATGAAAAATACTACAGGTTTTTTTTGTCTTTATAAAAGTTGATAAAACTACACTAGTATTTTTGACTTTGTTCTTTTGAGACAGGGTTTCACTGTGTAGTCCAGACCAGTCTTGGACTTGCTGTGTGTGTGGCCCGGGCTGTCCTCTGACTCTCGATCCTCCTTGCCTCAGTCTCCTGAGTGCTGAGATTACAGGCATGCATTGCCATGCCAGGCTCAACACCAGTTCTTATTACCTTCTCAGACATTAGAGTTTAGTTAAAGGTATAGGTTTCCTTAATCTGTAGCTTATTATTAAATACATTTAATTCTATTTAAAAGTTTCATCTAGTAACCTTATGATAGTTGAGCAACTCTGTAGTGAAACTGACCTGTAATTTTTGCTGTATAAAGAGTTTTTAATGTCAGCACGTCTTCTTTTGTTTCCAGTGCTACTTGGCCGTGTGTTGTCCGTCACCTTGCACAATCTTATCTGAAAGAGCCAATGATGGTGTATATTGGTACTTTGGATCTAGTTGTAAGCTTGTTCTTTATTACTATTAAAACTTGCATGATATTTAAAACACATGCTAAAGGGTCAGGTGTGTAGCTCAGTGGTAGAATGCATGGGTAGCATGCACCAGGCCCTTGGTTCAATCCCCAGCGCTGCCCCCCTAAGCAAAGACCTTCATAAAGCACATACCCAATTTTGGCATATCTGCTCTTCCCACTCAGTAAGATTCATTTTAATATAACTAAAATACCATTATGTCACATTTAACATTTTATTGTTTGTTTGTTTGTGACAGGGTCTCACTATGTAGTCCAGGCTGGCCTTAGATTCACTGTGTAGCCCATGCTGGCCTCAAACGCACAGTGGTCCCCTCACCTCAGCCTCCTGAGGGCTGGGATTACAGGCATGCACCGCCACGCGGCCACATTAACATTTTAATAATCCCTGAATACATCAAGTCAGTGTTCATAGTTTACTGACCTCTCCTTTTCCTCAACTCTTAGTGTCAGAGCATAAACGGAAGTTACATATGTTGCATATATGAAAGTAATATTCTCATTTTATGAAATTACATTTGGTCATTGAATTCAAACATTGTCTGACCTATTAAAAGTGTTTCTGTTAGCCTTTTAATCACTAATAAGTAAAATTGACCTCCATTTAATCATTAATAGTAGATCATTGCTGGGGATGATGGTACACACCTGTAATCCCAGCACTTGGGAGGGTGAGGCAGGAGGATTGCCATGAATTCGAGGTTAGCCAGCACTACATAGTGAGTTCAAGGCCACCCTGAACTAAATAGAGAGGTCCTGTCTCAAAAGAAAAGGAGGGGGGCCCGGGGATTTAGCTCAGTGGTTTCGCCCCCTGCTGCACAAGCGCAAGGACCCAAGTTCGATCCCCAGTACCAAAAAAAAAAAAGAAAAAAAAGGAGAGGAAGGGCCGGGGATTTAGCTCAGTGGTTCTGCCACCTGCTTCACAAGCGCAAGGTCCCGAGTTCGATCCCTGGTACCAAAATAATAATAATAATAAATAGATCTTTCCTTGGGCTGGTGGTGTAACTCAGTTGTAGAGTGCTTACCTAGCAGGTACAAGGCCCTGAGTTAGATTCTCAGTGCTGCAAAAAAGAAAAAATATGTAGGTCATTTCCTAGAGCCATTGTTTCATAAGGGATATACAGATGGTGATCAAATAATACTTATTTTCATAAAATCATTAGCCATCTAGGAAAGGCAATATGAATGCTTGGTTTTTTTACCCATTTATCAAATGCTACTAAAATCTATTTATCTAAAGAGACAAGTATTTTATTTCATTATGGGTCACAGAATATAGCAATAGTATTTTTTGTTTTGTTTTGTTTTTGGTACTGGGGATCAAATTCGGGACCTTTTGCTTTCAAGGCAGGTGGCGGTACCACTGAGCTAAATCCCTGGCCAGCAATAGTATTTTGAAACTTTGTATTAAGTTGTGAAAATTTCTGCTGAATTGAGACTCATTTGTCATAATCTGATCAGCCTTAACTGGGTGGGGTGATAACCAGAATTCAAGATGGAAGTTTTTATAAGCTGGCCATTACCTCATGGTTATTTTCCTACAGTGGTAACTAATTGTTTCAGCATACTTAGCTGACCTCTCGAGTGTTCCCAACTTAGTTTGGATGAAGTAAATGATAAAAACAAATGGCTGACCTATAAATCTTGAATAGAAACAGCTAATTTTGCCAGGATCTCTACCTTTTTGTTGACAAAACATTAACCAATGGTAGCAGAATTCTGAGCTGACGCTGAGGTCTTTCCCACCTTCTGATGGGTTCTGATCTTTGAATCCTTTAGGCTGTAAGTACAGTGAAGCAGGATATCATTATCACCACAGAGGAAGAGAAAATAACTCACATCCAAACTTTCCTAGAGAATATGTCACCTAAAGACAAAGTTATTGTCTTTGTGAGTAGAAAAGCAGTGTGAGTATTTTCCTTTTTTAAAGCAGGAATAAACTTTTTTGCCTTCTAATTTATTTTTATATTCTTTTTTATTAATATATGTTTGTGATATATAATAATTACATTCATTTTGGGTAATTCATACACATACGTATTGCATCTTTATCATTTTTACTCGCTCTTCCCCTCCGGTCTTCTTTCCTCTCCCCCTTCCTCAGGTCCCCTTCCCATCTCTAATAAGTTTACCTCCCTGTTTACTACCATCTCTCCTTTATTTTAGTTATATTTAATTTTTTGGTCTTTTTTTTCTTTTTTTTAGTAGCAGGAATCAAACTCGGGGCCTAATGCTTACCAGGCAGGCCCTGCACTGCTGATTTACGTCCCCACGCCTTTAGTTATATTTTATTACTCTCCTTCTTGTTAGTGATATTTTAGATTTCTCATATAAGAGAAACCACATGATATTTAACTTCCATTCTGATTTATTTCACTTAGCATTATGGTCTTAGGGTCCATCCATTTTCCTACAAATGACTTCTTTATGGCTGAGCAGTACTCTATTGTATACATATACCATTTTTATTTCATCCATTCCTCTGTAAATAGGCATGTAGGCTGCTTCAGTAATTTAGCCATTGTGAGTCGCACTGCTGTAAACATAGGTATGCATGTATCACTGTAACATGATGACTTTAACGCTTTGGGGAAGATACTCAGAAGAGGAATAAGTGGGTCAAATGGAGTTGCTATTTTTAGAGTTTTGAGGAATCTCCATACTGATTTCCACAGTGGTTGTGCTAGATTATGTTCCACCAACAATGTAGAAGGGTTCTTTTTTCCTTGTAGGCTTGCCAGCATTTGTTATTATTTGATTTCTTGATGATAGCCATTCTTTCAGGAGTGAGATGGAATCTCGGTGTCATTTTTCCTTGCATTTCTCTAATGGGCAAAGATCCTGTCCATTTTTTCATATACTTATTGGCCATTTTTACTTCTCTTAAGAAGTATCAGTTCTTTGTATATTCTATATAATAGCCCTCTGTGCAGGAGTGGCTGTCTAAATTTTTTCCCATTCGGTAGTTTGTCTCTGCATTCTGTTGTTTGCTATGTAGAAGCTGTTTAATTTGATACAATCCCATTTATTGATTCTTAGTTTGTAGGTATTTTCTTATACTTGCATTATAATCATCAAATTGATTTGTTTCAAACTGGGTATAGCCTGTCTGTGACATTATTTCAGTTTTTTGTTAATAGAAATAAAGCTAGTGAACTGATGATGGTATTAGAATAAGCACTTAAAATCATTTATCATTTGCTTCAGTGCTGATCATTTATCAAGTGACCTGATTCTTCGACAAATGTCAGTAGAGTCTTTGCATGGCAATAGAGAACAGAGCGATCGAGAAAAAGCGTTAGAGAACTTTAAAAAAGGTACATTTGTGCGATCCTTGTGTGTTTCAGTTTAAAATCAGTCCAGTACCTGGGCTTGGGCAAGTGATAGCATCTTTTCATGGCAACTATTTTCTCAGTTCTGTCCTCAGTTTGCATATTCCCCAAGTGTGCTTGACAGAGCTCTAAATACTAAGCTGTCTCTAAGAACCAACCAGCCAGACTCTAAAAAGATCAACATTTAAACCTAGCTATCAAGGCATTAATTTGCAATGGGGGCTGTATCTCAGTTTACCTGAAAGGTATTTACCTTTCTGACATGGTTCAGATAATTCAGGGACCATTTAATGAACCATGGTATCTGTTGTGTTGTAACTTGCCAGCAGTTTTATTTATTTGTACATCACTTTTCCATTTTCACTATCTAATCATTTTAATGTAGCAAACATAATTTACCTTATAAAAGAATACAGGTGAATATACTTTTCATATATGTAATGGCCCAGTTTGAACCAGAATGATTTAATGTTTATTTGCCTTTACTCCTTAGGTAAAGTGAGAATACTCATTGCTACCGACTTGGCGTCTCGAGGTCTTGATGTCCATGATATCACACATGTCTATAATTATGATTTTCCACGGAACATTGAAGAATATGTTCACAGAGTAGGGCGCACTGGAAGAGCAGGGTAAGTCAGTGGAGTCCACCTTTCGGGGGAGCCAATTCTGGATTCTTATTACTCCCCTCATGGACTACTCCTCCCCAGAAAATCATTTTTGTTCTCTTGCTGATAAATTTTCAGTTCTTTCCCAGAACCTGCTTGGCTCCTTTATCTTTGTTCATATGGCCTGTTCAGATTCAACTAGACCCTGTGATGATTAGCTTCTTCTAATTGTTCCTCATAGTAGTGGTTTAAATTTTTTATTAGCATGTGTTTGCAGGACACAATGTTTACAGTCCTTGTTGGGAGTTGGTACATGTACATAACACATCTTGATTCTTTTTTCATCCTTGTTCCCTTCCCTTTCTCCCCCCTCCACCTATCTCTTGATACTGGTTCAGTTTTATCATGTTACAATACTGAGCTGTATCCAGTGATTACTTTGTTTTTCAGTTGGCACAAGTGGGACAGAGGACCTTTTCCTCCTTCTGTCATAACCCCTGGTGCAGTTTCAGACAACTATGGAGTACTGGCAACCCTGATTCTGGTGCTGAATTTCTTCCAGACTTGACTGTCCACAGATTGAACACATTTGGAGAAATATTGTGTCTACTAAAAATATATAGACTTTTTTCTTACTCTTAAACAATGGACTATAACAACAGTTTACCTAGCATTTGCATTTATTAGGTAATATAAGTAATTGTTATGATTTAAATTATATAGGAGGATATGTATGTGTTATATACAAATGCCATAAATCACAAAAATTACCTGAGTTAAGACCCCCTGTTCTCCCCACCCTTAAAGGAGGACCGGCATGTCAATTACCCTTATCACAAGAAATGACTGGAGGATTGCCACTGAACTGATTAATATCCTGGAAAGAGCAAATCAGGTGAGAATATGCCACTCCTCCGAAATTAGTGTTCTAGTCATATTATGCAGGTACTGGTATATATTGCAAATCAAAAATACATAAAAAGTTTTTTGTTTGTTTTTTGTACCGGGGATCGAACTTGGGTCCTTGCACTTGCGAGGCAGGCAACGAAACCACTGAGCTAAATCCCCGGCAAAAACAAGTTTTTTAAAACAGATTTTGAGGGCTGCAGCATGGAAAAGATAAGGAGCTTCAGGAGCATATAACTGGGGAGCTACTCTAGAGTGAGTAAGCAATGAAAGCCCTGCAGAGGAGTAAAGCAGCAAGTGGAGGGAGAGTCAGGGGCAGCGTTCCGGCAGGGGACACATTCAGGCCCACCAGAACTCAGACTCAGTATGCAGAAAACAGTGCTGGGAAGAAGGTATATTGAGGGCACCAGGAGTCAGCTGGAGGGCCACATAAACAGGGAGCAGCATAATGACGAGTATTTTTAAGATCAGTCTAGTTCTGCAGCCTGAAAATGGATTTAGGACTTACTAGGCAGAGACATTTCATTCTTTTTGGAAGATGTCATGTAATTTGTTGTGCAGATTCTCTGAAATGATTTGGAGGTATTTTAGCATATTATTGAAAAGGAAGAACTCAGACTCCTAATAACACATTTACTAATTTCAGAGTATTCCAGAGGCGCTCATCTCAATGGCTGAGAGATACAGAGCAAATAAACTGAAAAGAGAAGTGGGAAAAAAAATAGGAAGACTTCAAGGAAAGCCCCAGAAGTTTTATTAGCACTGTAGCATTCGCCTACTAGAGGTAAAATTTATATAACATTAGAGTTTCAGATTCCTGGGGTTTTTCTATCTGTTTGGCCATACTGATGATTACTAAACCCAGGAAGTACTGAGCTACCTGGTTTGGTTTGGTTTGGTTTGGTTTGGTTTTTAAGACAAAATCTTGCTAATTTGCCCAAACTGGCCTTGAATTTGGGATCCTTCTACCTCAGCAACCTGAGTCGCTGGGATTATGGGTATGCACCTCCCTACCCTGCTAAATTCCAGCCTTTTTAAATAAGGCTTTGTTAGTGTTGTTATACTCACCATTATCTCTAACAGCCTTTAACTTAATATATTATTAGGTGTTACTATTTCACCCATTACCAAGATTCCATTTAATATATCTTTAGAATTAGAAGTACTGCTGGGCGTGGTGGCACACAGTGTAATCCCAGCACTCAGGAGGCTGAGTCAGACATGGCTGTAAGTTCAAGGCCAGCCTGGGCTACATAGTGAGTTAAGGTCCAGCCTGAACTGCATAGCAAGACCCTGTCTCAAAAAACAAACAAAACCCAGCCAAAATGACCTTTAGGGGACTAGATCAATAAATTGGCACATTGTATGTTATGCAGCTGTTAAAGAACATCTGAACCATTTTTTAAGATATCTTAAATGCTAAAAGCAAAAAACTTCCCACTAGGACAGTAGACTGAGCCAACACACAAAACTCTTCTTTTACTTTAAACACTTTAAACTCAATAGAAATAGTAGGTTAAACGTTTTATTTAAATGTTCACAAGAGTGAGTGATGCATGAGGGATCACTGTATTGTTCTGTACATGTTAAAACTTTTTTCCTTCATAAAACATTTCCATAATAAAAACTCTACTTATGGTCAGGTATGGTGACGCATGCCTGTAATCCCAACACTCAGGAGGCTGAGGCAGGAGCATTGTCACAAGTTTGAGGCCAGCCTGGTCTGCATAGTGAGTTCAAGGCCAACCTATGCTACATAGCGAGACCTTGTCTCAAAAACCAAAAAGAAATTCTGCTTATGGACCGGAGGATGCAGCACAGAAACAGCTACCTGGGCTAGAAAAAGTGAGAAGGAGAGGAATGAACTGGAAAAACTCTGTGAGCAAAGTTCAGACCTAAGTAGCCTCATGCTAAGATTCTGATTTTAAAAATTAAATAATAGGTGATCTGCACACACAGGATAACTATACTACCTATGAAGATAGCACATCAACAAATGCATTAGAGCTAAGGATTTGTAGAGTTGATAAATTTGAAGATTTGTAGTACATTTGAAGAGTTAAATAAAAAAAGTGTAATTGGCTATGATGAAAAAAAACCAATAAAAAAATTAGAAATAGTTCCTGAAATTTAAAAACTGGAAATAATTAAGACAGCTTACAAGAATTGTCATCATATCAGAGGACATCATCCAATACATCTCATATGAAGACATAGAAAATAAGAAAACAAAAGTTCAAGTAAAATGTTCCAAGTGCGTTCCTACTTGGTTTTTAATGTTTTTCCACAGACTTTGCATAACCAACACAAACTACGTCTGTTTTTCTCAAAACCAGGTCTGGCTGGCCTGGAACTCTGGGCTCACTCGATCCTCCTGCCTTGCCTCTTGAGTAGCTGGAACAACAGACACACATCATCATGCCTGACTTAATTTGTTTTTCTTTGTTTTTGTTTTTGTGGTACCGGGTATCAAACTCAGGACCTTGCACTTGCAAGGCTGGCGTAGCACCACTGAGCTAAATCCCCAGCCCTTACATTTGTTTTTAATTTTTACCATTTGAAAATATTGACAACCAAGAATAACCAAGCAAGATTGAATCATAAAAAAATGAAATCTAGGCAGGCCTATAACTAGTATGAAGGTTGAATCAGTGACAAAATCTTCCCACAAAGGAAAAGCCAGCATTAGATGACCTCACAGGAGAATCTTGCCAAACATTTAAAAATGTACACCGATCCTCCTCAAACCTGTTTAAAAACATTGAGAGGATACATCAAACTTATTCTAGCAGGCCTCTGTTACCATGGCACTAAAGCCAGACAAAGACTAAGAAGAAAATTGTGGAGCAATATCCTTTAATAATGATGCAAAAATATTAGCAAACAACTCCAACATCAGGTTAAAAAGATTATGTGTTATAACCAAGTGGGGTTTATTCCTGCATTGCACAGATTGCTCAACATACAGAAATCAATGAAATACATCACATTAATAGATTAAAGGAAAAAATACTTGCATTTGACAAAATTTACAGTACATTCATTATGAAAAGTAGGTCTATGGCCTATAATTCCAGCACTCAGGAGGCTGAGAAAGGAGGATCATAAATTCAGCCCCTGCCTGGGCTACACAGCAAGACCTAATCTCAAAACAAACAAAAAGATAAAGACTGAAAGGAGTATGTTCCACGTCTAGCCATAGTATTGGGAGTCCTAACTGGAGTAATCAGGCAATAAAAAGGCATCAAACTTGGAACAGAAGATCTGATTGCAGAGGAAATGAGCTTATATGTAGAAAGCAGAAGATTCCATAAAAATTCAGCAAGTTGAAGGATCCAGAATTCGAAAAATTAGTTACATTTTGTTGGAGCTGGTAGGCTGAAAGGGGGGAGGGTTAGTCAAGCGAGGTTCCCCATGAAAAGAATGCACCTGGAGCAAATATCACAAAAAACAGGGACCAACTTTAATTTCCAGCATCAAGGCAGCATCAGAACATGAGAGTTGGAGCTGCAGCTCCAGACCTCAAGAGCTGTGTGTCTTTATCAGCTTTTCTGAGACATAGTAAGATAAAACATCCTCATGACCTTGCATGGCTGTGTGGTACATGCATGGTCGTCCATGCTGATGCATTATTATTATAACAAAGTCTGTCCTGTGCCTGCACTAAATGACAGAGTTGTGTCCTCAAGTGCCCTCTGATGTCCTCAGACACCCAAGCTTTGACACATCTCACAGAGGCCTCCTACACATTTCTTGGGGAGAGGAGAGGACAGGAAAGTAAAAAGATGAAGATGCAAATGTGTATATGTACCAATTCCCCACAATGAATGTATTTTTTATATATACAGACATATTAATAAAAAGGAAGGAAAACAAATCTCAGAAAAATTAGTTGTATTCCTATGCACTGACAGTAAACAATCTGACAAGATTTTAAGAAAATAATTCTATTTGCAGTGTCAGAAACAAAACATTTAGAAATAAGCCAAAGACAAAACATTTGTACACTGAAAACTAGAAAATTTTAAGAGAAAAGAAAAATGGAAAGATAATCCCTTTTGTAAACTTCAGAGAGTTCATTTTAATTCTGAATTGGTATTATACAGTATTTATAAAACTTCTAATAGGAAAACTACACACTAATAGATCTATATGTAAACATGTAATAATCATGGCTAGTTCAGAGATTACTTGTCAAGCAACACTTTTTACAAGTGTTTTAAAGGAAAATACTTATAGTTACACAAGGATTTGAAGACACAGTTTTTGTGTGTGTGGTACTGGGGATTGAAGCCAGGCTTGCCCTACTACTGAACTACATAACCAGTTCTCTTTTAAATTTTATTTTGAGACGGGGTTTTACTGTATAGTTCAGGCTAGCCTCAAATTTGTAATTCTGCCCCAGCCTCTTGAGTTGCTGGGATTACAGCCATTGGATTGAAAATATAATTTTAACAAAAATTACGTGTAAGAGGGAAACCGAAGTTGGTAAAACTCTTGCCCTTTTTTATAAATGGTATCCTAACAATTCCCCAAGTCAGGATTTTTCTAGAAAAAGTAAAATGATTTATGAACTTTGTTTCTTTATTGCTTTATGTATCAGAATCATTTGTATATCCTCGCCTGCTATTATCACTTTTCTTGCCCAAGTCTTTTGTAGTTGTTCCCATCAGGAAATTATGTAGAATCACCCACCCTGGGCCCTTTTCTTTTTTTCTTTTTTTTTTTTTGTAGTAACCAGGAATCGAATTTGGGACCTTGCGCTTGCAAGGCAGGCGGCGGAACCACTGAGCTAAATCCCTGGCCCCCCTGGGCCTTTTTCTAATATACCTTAAGTCTGTCTGGCTTTTGGGACAATTCATTTTTATGGATTAAGAGACTTAATATTGTTAAAATACTAATACTACCCAAAGGAACCTATAGATGCAGTGCAATTTCTATCAAAACCCCAATGGCAGGGCTGAGGATTTAGCTCAATGGTTCTGCCACCTGCCTCGAAAGCACAAAGTCCCAAGTTCAATCCCCAATACAAAAAAAAAAAACCCCACGCCTTTTTTGCAAAAATAGAAAAATTCCATTCTAAAATTCATATGGAATCTCAAGGGATTCTAAATAGCCAAAACCATTTGAGAAAAGAACATGGTTGGCCACGTGTGGTGGCATGTGCTTGGAGACTCAGCTACTTGAGTGGCTGAAGTGGGAGGATTGACAGTTTGAGGCCGGCCTGGCCAATTTTAGTGTGACCACATCTCAAAAAGAAAGAACCATGGTGGGAGAATTCATACCTCCTGGAATCAAAATATTTTACAAAGCGATAGTAATCATAACTCTGGTGCTGCCATAAGACAGGCATATAGACTAGGCCTGGGATTTAGCTCAGTGGCGCTGTGCTTGCCTTGCAAGCGCCAAGTCCTGATTTCGATCCCCAGTACAAAAAAAAAAGATAGGCATATAGACCGATGAAATAGAAGACAATCTAGAAATAAACTCTTGCATATGTGATCAAATGATTTTAACAAGGTTGCCAAGACTGCTCAATGGGAAAAGGACAGACACTTCAACAAATGATGTGGGAGAAACTGGGTATCCACATTGCAAAGAATGTAGCAAAAAATTAACACAAAATGGATTAAAGACCTAAATGTAAGACCCAAAACTGTAAAACTGTACAAGAAAACGTACAAGAAAAACTTGATACTGGGTTTGGCAGTAATTTCTTGGATATGACACCAAAAGCAAAAGTAAACAAATGGACCTGTATCAAATTTTTAATCATTTTTGCGT